AATATATTTTTACTTCAATTAATAAAATTATAATTTATTTATCAAAAATATTTCATTAAAAGAATATTATAAATTATGTTAAATAATAATTACATCCCGATCAGATACTGTTATAAATAATATTTTTATTTTTTAATAACTTTATATAAAAGTAGTTTTCCTTCTATTTGATATTCAAGATAATGATAAATAAATTCCTTTAATTACTCTAAGGATATTTTAAATATAAATAAATTTTTACAGAATCTGTTACTAAATTAAAGAAGATAGGGGATTCTTAAAAAATTTGATTATTAAATCAAATTTATTTATCACTAACATTTATAAGATTTTTTATCTTTAAAATATAATTAGATTGAAATTAATTTTAAAACTAAATTCAGACAAAAAACCTCCCAGCCATCCTTAAATCTAAAATTCAAAATTTAAACAACCACATCGATCATAACATTTCAAGAAAGCTGTTAAATTTTAAAGATATAAGGTGAATAATGTATTAAACTAATATGTTTTATAATGAAGACCAATTATAAAATATATGTAAGTTAATTAAAATATTAAAACCAAAAAAAATTTTACATTACATTTCTCATATCGAAATAAAAAATATTAAATCTAAAATAGTCTTGCATATTCTATATGATTTCCCTGGTTTATGTTAAATATATGTTACTGTTCTAGAATATTCTTTTTCTAGAAAAAGTTTTGTTTAAAAACAATTTTAATTTGATGCCCATGTTGAGGCCACAAAAAATCTTTAAATTAAAATTATTCACCTGCATACTTTAAGTAACTCCTAGAGGAATATTGTCGTATTGGCAATATCCCCGTAGAATACCACAGTTACATAATATAATTTATATAGAATTACCAAGTGAATGGCATAGAAAAAATATTTAATTAATCATATTTTTTTAATTTTATTTGAGTAAAAAATAATCATATTTTTTCTTGTGAATTTATGAAGAATAGAACAACTAATTTATAGCCAGAGTATTTTAATTAATCATTTTTTTATTTATATTGGAAAAACAAATTACATCATCCAAGTCCCTAAGATCAACTTTATTTGTTTAAAAGTAGAGCAAGCGAATTTATATAATTAACAATCTCTCTTTAAATTCTCATTAATATTATCTTTCTTCTTTTATTAAATAAAATTTATTGAATAAAGAATATTTTAAGCTTTCAAAATCCAAATGATTATAACTTTTAATCTCAATCTATAAATCTATTTGTTGTAAACTAACG